AGATGCTGATGGCTGTGGGCAGGAAGGATCTCTTGTAGCGGTCTGTCTTGCAACAGATCTGAAGAAGCCTCTGACTGAAGACGCTGTTGTTGTATGACAGTCTGATGAAGAGGATGCTGAGGGTTGTCTATAATGTTCTTCATTTTATGAAGAATCCTTCTTTGTACAATCATCTCCAAAGTTTCTAGAGGAGGCCCCAGAACTGAGCCAGCCTTCTTTGTGAGCTTGTTTATCATTTTTGAAGTCACTTGCTCTGGCGCTGCTACTTCAGCAGATGATGGCAGAAGAGATAACACTGTACAACAGAATTGTAGAAGATATGCAGTATCTTGGTGCAAACACTGATGGACTTGAGTTTCCTCAAGAAGTACAGTCTGCTCTGTCCCTTCTTATAGACGGCTTTACTGTTGCAACTCCAGTCCATTATGTTGTCCAGGTGAACCCCAAGGTATTTATACTTCTCCACCACCTCCACTTCTTCTCCCATGATGGAAATAGGGTTGGACCTGTTCCTGTTTTTCCTGAAATCTACAATCATCTCCTTTGTTTTGTTCACATTCAAGATGAGATGATTGTTTCCACGCCATGCCACAAAGCGGTCCACCAGTTCCCTGTACTCAGCTTCTTGTTCATCTCTGATACACCCGACCACTGCAGAGTCATCAGAATATTTCTGCAAATGACAGGAGTCCGTTTTATACTGGAAATCTGAGGTGTACAGAGTGAAAAGGAATGGTGAGAGTGCTATTGCTATTCCACCTTCTAAGATGTGAACATTTTGCACTAGATTCAGCTAGTGTAAAATTGTAACTTAATTTTCCTAAATTGGAGATGTTCTATTACTATCCACCCATTAAACCTGAGATTTTTCATCTCCCCAAGAAAACGTACTTTTGATCACATCACATTTAACATTCATTAAAAATAATTTTTAGTTATTTTCTTGCTAAAGAATGTAGATTTGATAGTTCTCAAAGGCAGAAAAGAAATAATGCATTACCTGGAATGATCTTAGATATAAAGATCTTCACAGCCACTCAAGTAACTGAATCTCTTTGATCAGGTTCACTTTGATAGAACTTAAATATTTTTGATTTTTGTTAAAATGACTGTGAGATGTGAGCATTTTATGATCACATTGGGTCATTAAAATAAAGTTTGAGTATGTTTTAAGACATTTCACATTTTCAGGAACCGTTTAAATTACTTATCTTGATGTTCAAAAGCCTCTTTTTGCATTATCCTTTAACAAGAAGGGGGAAAAAAAAATGTAGAGAAATTTCCCCTTTTTTCTCCCTGTCACTCTTAGTTTGTCTCTCAGGCTTTCTCATATACATCCCCATCTCTGTTGAAATGGCAGAGCTTGTATGGTGACATAATCCCAAAAAGCTTGATTTGGCTAACTTTATAAGTAGTGCTTCTTGTGCGCCTGGGTCTCGGCTTCATCAGAGAAAAGTCAAATGGAAATGTTGCATTAAGCCACTTATCAGGGTTGAGCACATTCGGATAATCCCGCATGCTCAAAGTGGCTCCTGTTATGCAGCTGCTTGTGTAGCACTGTTAGCCGTGGAGTTTTTGCCTCTTATTGGTGAGCGTGAATGTCTTGTGCGCAGTGTGATATTCGATATGGTTTATGCGTTTGAGAGTTGGAGCTTTTTTATTTATTTATTTTTTTGCTGAGAGCTTGGGTTTTGTGTTCTAGCAGATGCAAAGCAGGTAGACCCAAGATTCATCATGTTCCATAGTTTAAAACCCAACCCCAAACTGCACTTGTTATAATAATAAATGATATACAGCTTTGATTTCCTGACACACATGGCAACAATCATCTTCTAAACTGTGATCACAGCTTTGTATTGTTTTACCTTAATAACCAGGACTTTATCTCTCTTGTGTGCCTCATTAACCTGTTCAGACCTGATGCAACATGCACAAGCAGCACACATGGTGCCTCAGGTCTGAATTGGTTAAGGTTTAAAGATGGCACAAGACCTTTGAGGTTCTGTTTTTTTTTTCTCTCAATAATATAATCATGAGAGTCGTGCAACCCTTATACTCAGTTATCTCCCAAGCTTCTATCATATAATTTCCAGAACGATACTGACTTTTCCTTCCAAATTGACCTGCACAAATTATTTTTTTCCACAAAGTGATTTGTTAGAAATATAGCTAAGAAAAAGAAACTGTAAGAACCTGGTTTAATAGCGAGTGCACAAGACGGTTGCTTATTTTAGCTGCAGCAAACCTTAACCTCCCACACATTTAAGGGTAAGCAGCCTTTTGCTGTGTTCCAGTCTGGAAAACTGCTCATGCTGTGCCTATGCTGGACTATTATTACTCAATTACGACATGGCACATGTACCTGTTTAATATCATGGCTTTGCACAGGTTGTGTGCCTTAGCGAAAAGACCACTTCAAATTAAACTTGTTTTAGGAAGTGAACCTTAAAATATAAAACAGTCGAGGTGTACATCATCCTCACATACCGCACTGTAGAATAAATCATACAATTTGCAAGGATTTAAAGTCCCCACTCTTTGTCCTCTTTACACATCACTAAATCCATTTGCAATCTCCAGACAGGTAACAGAAAATACTTGGGTACTTATACAAACATGTTGGAGATGTGATTCTTTGGCAGAGTTAACCAGATATTCCCATGCTTCATGTCTTCTTGGCAGAACAAACACAGTTAGCCTCACACTTCTCTTGCTGTTCTTATCACTCCTCCACTTTCTGATCCATCCATTGCCTTCCCCTCTCTGTTTCACTCTCCTCCGTGGGGGTTCTTATAGATGGATTTGCCTTATCGTAAGATCTGATGGTTTGTGGGAAATAAGCCTCCTTCTAATCTAACACTGTTGGTCAAAGTTTCTAATCTGTCTTCACCTCACCTAATGGGGTTTAAATCATCTTTGCAGATCTTTTTTGTGTTTTCTATTTTCCTGTTATTTTCTTATCCTAACCATATTATCTACCGTGGATTCATCCCATTTTATATTGCTTTGCTCCGTTCTTATCAGTTTCAATATGCCATACAGATGTGAATAAATTAGTTGGTACTCCTAAACCTCAATGAATGAGTAGTTAATTTCTTTTGAAATGGTACATTTATGTGATAGATTAAACAAAAATGCAAATTTTACAAAATTATGCTAAAATGGTATGGATTTGTTGATACCCTTCAAGTGAGCATAATTCCTTGCATTATAATTGTCCTCTTCCTCTTGGGGGATTCCAAGGCATCCCCAGGCCAGAGAGGATATACTGTATAATCCCTCTGGCGAGTCCTGGGTCTGCCCTGGGGTCTTCTCCCTTGCTACTTGCCTAGAAAACATCCCAAGGGAGGCTTTCAAAAGCTGGAGCTCATCGCTGTGGAGAGGATGTCTGGGTTTTCTTCTTGGACCTGTTGCAACCTGATGATGGATAAGGAGTAGAAGATTGATGAATAGAAGGATTATTTTTCCAAGTATTTTAAATAATTAGTGTCACAGTAGCACCTAAATCTTTTCACCATTTAGCCTATTTAAAGGGAACAAACATGCCACTGAGTAATTTTTTTATTTTTTTATTTTATCATTGTGTGCACCACACTGAACATGAACCAGAAAAAGCTAAATTTAAAGCTGTCTGGAACCCAGAAGATTATAGATGTCCAAATTAAAGCTAATGGCTACAAGACCATCTCCAAGCAACTTCCTGTTCCTGTGACTACAGCTGCCAATTTTCTTAAAACATATAAGTGTTTCCCCTACCATTATACAAACAGGGTGCCCCACCCTATCAACAGGCTCATGGGATTATAGCCTCCCAGGACATCAACAGAAGATGTTATGCAAATCCAAGTTGATCAGTCATGTATGTTAGAACAAGCCAAGGAAACCATCCCAAATAATTTAAGTTGAACTCCAGCTCCAGCTTGCCGTTTTCTTCCTTTAGCCTTTAAATGTACAGTTTGTAACTAGCCCATGTTTTCTCTGGAGTTTCCCATTAATTTAACTTGTGCCTTCTTCCTCCAAAGTCCTGGAAGTCATTCTTCCTCCAACATCATTGATGATGATCAAATTCCTGAATTGGACTTTAAATAACAAGGGCTAAACAGATAAGATGCTCTTCGATGCTCAGAGTAAAGGAAATCCACTACATTTTACCTAATGTCCCCTTCACATCCTTCCTGGGAGGAGCTTAGAGTTGAGGCGGAGATGTGAGTGAGAGAAGCGAAGAGGCACGTTAGCATAATGAAAAGCACCCCTGGTGTCTTTTTAATTTCCCTCCTCCTCTGAAAATGCAGATGGCTTTTAGTGCTGAACAACACTCTACAACCTTCTGCTTCTCTACCGCAACTCACAATGTCCTCATCCTGTCCACCTAATGACAGCCTGCCGCCGCTCTCTCATGTCCTTGTAATGGGCCTGTCTGCATTGTCTCTGAACTGCGCCGGCACTATGATGCAGAGCCAAATTCCACATTTCCTCCCCAACCCCCCCTTTCCCATCACACTTGTCCGACACCGTCTACATGTCGCTCTTAAACTGTCGATTTTGCGCACCGGTGCGGCTGCATCCATGCTATTAGCGACGTCTGCATGTGTCTGGCCCACAAAGCAGGCTTTCCCCGCCACATGCCTGTGCATATATGCACAAATGCACATAACTCTGTGGCAACATTCTTCAGGGTGAGTGGGTTGGAGTCTATCCCTCGGGTGCTGTGTTGAAGGCACTGTGGAGGGTCATTTGGGTTTTATCACTGCTCCGTGTGTGTATTGTCCCAAACACCCACAGTGTGTTAATACAGCTCCTCTGGGGAGTTCTACACTGCTGCCTGATGTGATTCTCACTGACTGGGGGTGACCTTGAGAACTGGGACAAACAAGGGGACCCACATACTGACAAAACTCTCCAACACTAATTATTACGATAACTGCTGCTGCCTTTATTCTTCCCTCACTTGTCTTTGTGTATTTTTGCTATTGTTGACTCGTTTTTTATTCCGCCTTCAGGTCAACGTGACTGTGGACTACATCAGAGCAGCTACCGGTCCAGGAGAAGGCACGCCTGCTTTCGCAGAGCGCACCTGTGCCACAGTTGCAATTGGTGGAATGTAAGTAGATGCTGCAAGCTTTGTGTACGTTTTTCCCTTTATTCTTTTAAGCCAAAATGTTCATCCATCCCCTACCTTTCAATGGAAGTTTGCTGCAAATAGAGCAATTATTGACAGTTCAACAGCAACATACCGTTAAAGACTTATTTTACTTCTCTATGCAACACAAAGTTGGTTCCATTTGATGTGGGACATTCATTTCTAAATGTGCACTCATACAAATCAAGTAACCTGAAAGTGCTGCTTTGTGTTGAAAAGGGTCACTTCAGGGCAAGCAATTATTTTCTATCTGCAAACACTTCTTTGAAGGACTGTGGTTTATCAGGTTCAGACATTTTTTACACACGATCACAGACATAAATGCTTTTCAGAGGCTCAAATTTAATCAGAACTTGAAAAGAAGAGTTTAATACTGTTCAACTTGAAAATTAGGCTTTAGAAGTCTGTTTTTACTTTAAAAGGGGGACAAAATCAGTTAAACGCTGTGGTTGTCTTCATTTCTCCCCCCCCTGTATCTGACAAGTTACAAAGCAGCATCGCAGGCGTACATGGAGACCCAGATCCCTTTTTATCATCAAACCGACTGTCTTGTATTATAGTGCTTCTGCACAGAGGTTAGTATCTGGACTTGTAAACATCCAATTACAACTCTGCATTACTTGGACTACATCAGCCAGAAAACGATGAAACTTCTTATGAATGCTAAAGTCAAGGGGCTGAGGCCTCAGAGACATGGAGGCTTTGACCTTGTTGGACTTTAGTCTTGAGGTGTGGGGTAAGAGCCATAATTTTCCTCTTTCTCATTGGAGACTTGGCAGTGAACTGCAAAGTTTTTGAAGAAATGGAGTCTGGCTGAACTTTATGGCATAAACAAGTTTGTCAGTATTAAAAATTATTGATTGCCTGTCTGGAAAATGAAAATGCAACGCTCAAACCATCACCAAGTCATTTAATCAAGCATCAGCAAAGGCAATGGTTTGAATTGTTTTAGCCTGTCTTTTTTTATGAAAGGGAGTACAACTGAACTGTTTTTCCCTGCCCCTTTTCTCTTATCCTTTTTGTGTTGCCAGTAACATCGCTGAAGCTCTGGTCAGTAAAGGCCTCGCCACAGTCATCAGATACAGACAGGATGATGACCAACGGTCCTCCCACTACGATGAGCTGCTTGCTGCAGAAGCACGGTGAGGAACGCTCACTCTTCTTGTTTTTTAAGTAAACTGCACGCCTCCTTTGCTCCTTTAAAATGTTTATACTTATAAACTTTTATAAATTCATAAAACACAGACATGTGAACTGTCCAAAGCACATCCTTTAAGTGAATTTGACATTTTTGTCTTGTGGGAAATGGAGGAGAATCAAATGACCTTGAGCTTTTCTTTCTTTTCACGCAGATGAGGATACTTCCTTGTAATTGGTTAAAATTTATAAGGGCCATCATCATTAGTCACAACCTATAAGGCTGTTGCTTTGTTTCATGTTATTGCTCCTAAATATTTACTCATGCATGCATAGGTGCACCCCTCCCTGGTTTCTTTTCTTTTTTTTATATGCTTGAGCACACATACACTGTTCCAGGCACCAGACGCTAAATCAGAAGCTCTCTTTACTCAGGCCCTATGAATATAATTATGTGGAGGTGCAGTGGAGAGATTTAGTACAAGGTTTATTACTCTGCCATAGATTAAGATCTGCTTGCTGTAGGTAGAGCAGATGCAGCTGCAACCTTTTTTTCCTCCATAGAATTAACTCTTTCTTTCACACCATGTCACTGGCCACCTGCCTTCTTTGTTCCCTCCATTTTACTCTTGCTATCCTTTTGTTGCACATCCTGTCCTTATTTCTGCACCTTTGCAGTTTTCAGTTTTGTCCTTCGTTGGCCTTGCTCATCTGGGTCTTCTTTCTAATTTCTTTTTCCGCTCTTCTGTCTCTCTCTTTACTGCTCTCTCTCTTTGTCCCTCGTGAGGTCCTGTACAAGATGAGAGGTTTCTCCTCAAAGCCTTGGTTGTATTTTTAGTTCCAATTGCACAAAGCCTGTGGCCCACAGCCTTCAAGAGACCCTTCTGGCTATTAAATGCACGTCTTTACGGTATATTTTTGCATAAGTGCACATGCTGTATCTTAGAGGCACTGGTTACCATTCCAATGACCCACTAGTGGCATGATGGCACTCCACAGCTGTGACTTCAGGTCATCATCATATTTGGCCCCTTTCGGCTTTTTTAAACGGCACTCAACAGCAGGAGTCATCATTACTGAAGACCTTGTTTTTCTTTCCCTTCAGAAGACATATCATGTCAAATCATCATCTCAAGTTTATAGCCATAACTAGGGATGTGCGATATGGCATAAAATTCATATCACAGTATCTATTGTGATGGGTGGCAGTAACGATATATATCACAATGTGTTTTTGGTACAAAACTTGCAATAGTAAAGAAAAAAAAGCATAGGTTGTCATTTTACCAGCATTTATTTTGAAAACTGCTATACCCCAAAATAATCTCAATCAAGAAAATTCCACTACTAGGTCCAGAGAGTTTTTAAATAAAAAAACTAATCAAGTATTAAAATTATTTATTCTAGTGGCAGTGCAAAATATATCAAATGTAGTTTTAACCAAATGTTTTAAACAAAAGACTGTTAACTTATAACAGTTTCCAGACTTCTCACTTAAGAAATGAACAGCAACAAAGCAGTGTTTTACTTGTAAAAAAGTGCACACCGAAAACACTTACCAAACTCAAATTCAAAATCTCGCTGTCATTTGTTAGAGTCTAAAGATTGTTTGCCAAGAACACTAGCTTGTCCAGAGTCTCTGGCTAACTGCCCTTTCTGAAGGAGTACTTGTGGCTGCAATGCAAAGGTATTCCTTGGCCAGTCTTGCCATTCTTGCAAAATTAGCCTGATGCAGTCTCCACCTGTCCATTGAGTCAGTTTCTGACAGACAAAGGTTTGGCTTCAAAAGAATATGAGAGGTTCCTCCAGTGGGTGTTTCCTTCCTCTTTAAGGAGAGCTGACACAAAATGGCGACCAGTTTCCTCTGTGGCTTGACCAGAAAGGATCTCGCAGTAAAATCATACAGCACAGCATTCTTTTACAGATCAGAGAGCAGGTTTAACCCTTTTTATTTAGCACAAATGCACTTTCTAAAGCTGACCAACGCTTACTTTAACTTTCATTCGACCTTTATTTAGACAGATAAATCCCATTGAGCCTCGAGGACTTTCGACAGAACACGGCGTTTTGCACATGCGTCCGAATATGGCAACAGTACGGCAAGCCGGCCGTAGTTAGCGTGTAGCTTCACTACTTAGCTCTCGAAGAAAACAGACTTTAACACCATTCACGCACAGTTTTCAACTAAAAAAACGTAACGGTTAAATCGGACAACTCTGATTTTACATCGGACACAGCATTACTGCGGTTAGCCGGTAGAAGACAGATCTCTGTCATAGGCTAAATGTCTATAGTTTCTAATGTGTATCGTATATATTGCACATTCCTAGCCATAACTATTCTTTTGTTATGCTTTCTCCTTCAGCCCAAGTTTTTGAGCCTAAATGTTTGCTAAATTGGACTAAAAAAAGATTATACAAGTATTTTACACTGAGGTGCAATGGCAGTTTTGGAGTTTCTTTTAAGACAAACTCCTCCATTTCTGATGACCCTTTTCCAGGTTCAGTAATCATTCAGCCTTATGCTTTTGATGCATTATTAGATATATTTCTGCTTTGTAGGAAATGTTTCTTTATAGTGTGGCTGTTTGTTTGAATTTAGGGCCATCAAGAATGGGAAAGGGCTGCACAGCAAAAAGGAGGTTCCCATTCACAGAGTGGCTGATATCTCTGGGGTATGTAACTTTTTTCTTTGTTTGTTTGTTTCTAGTTTATTCTACACAAGGGATGGAAATATGTGAATGATGGGATAAACATTTGTATTATAAATTGTAGGCTATGAAATCTTTGTGCAAATTAATTCACTTTTTAAAACGTAACAAAGATGCATTTGTCCGGTGATTCTCAGAAGACGATCTGTAATCATTGATTCATTCTTTAGGGGGGCTCAGGGTCTTGATTGAGTTATCGTTGAGCTAATGAAGCCTGATTGGGAGTTCTCATCACATGAACATTAGTGTGGGAAAACCATAAAACCCTGCAGTAAAGGTTACTGGCACACATCTATGTGGATGTGGCTTTTGTATGTACAGCTTGGGACATTTTAAGTTTTATTTTTAAACTCACAATGAAGCAGTTGTGTTTACATTTTATTTTAGATTGTAATTTAGTTTTGTTTATTTTTATACTCTGTTCATGTCAAAATATTTTAATATTGTTGTACCAAAGAAGGTAACACAGTTTTGTCAATTAAAGTAAATGCAGTGAAATTTAATTTCAAAACTGTTACAAATCTAGTGGAGTATATCGGGATTCATACCATCTCTAAAAAATTAGTTTAGGACTAATAAAGGGCACTATGTTTTTCATTTACGATGAAGACAGCTGCAGTAAATAATGTCTCACCCGCAAAACGTTCAAAGTCGTGCTTTTTGGAAGGACATTACCAAGGTGATTTTATGTGTTTAATGGCTCCATACCAGTATTTTTGTCATATCAGTAAGTATTTTTTCCTAAAATAACCATTACCTTTTCTGCTTGTAGGCAGTTGATCTCTTCCTCATTGACCAATCACCAGTCAGTCTGATGCGAATTACTAAGTTTCTAAAACATTAGCACAACACAGCATTGTCTTTGTCACTTGAACTCACTTGTCTTAGGACCCAGAGGACTTTAAGGTCAATTACAACGGAGCTTTATGGCCATGCTAAAGAAAAAAAAAAAAGGACAAGATTGCATTGCCATGCTAAGAAAAAGAAACCCGTAAAATTACGATAATAAAGTCATAGTATTACGAGAATAAAGTCGTATGAGACTTTTTTTTTTTTACAGCTCTCGTTTATTTATAATTATTTTTTCCCAAGTCTGATCAGTCCAGTAGGCGTGTCAGCAAATGACCAATCCGAAGCTAAACGAGTCGTAATATTATCCAAACTCCGACACGATAAAGCAGGGTTTACCACATTTTAACTGTGGTAAAATGAAGAATGTTGAGCTTCTTGTTAAGTTATACTTTAGTATTGGTTTTACAAATAAAGAGATAGTTAATATGTTAGCACATGAAAATCAGATTATTATCAGTATCAGGACTTTAAACCTGCTTACAGTAAGGTGGTACGCTCTGATGTGCTGCAGTGCAGCTCTCTGCAGGTGAGGAGCATTTAGCTTCGGACTGGTCATTTGCTGACACACCTACTGATTGATTGACAGGTCGCGTCATGGATCCGACTCATGGGGAAAATAAATAAATAAAGGAGAGATGTAAAAAAAAAAAAAAAAATCTTCTACGACTTTACTCTCATAATAAGACTTTATTCATCTTTATTCTTGTAATATTACAACTTTATTCTTGTAATTTTATGACTTTCATTTTTTTTTCTTAGCGTGGCCCTAAAGCTCCGTCATAGTAAATAACTCACTCACTTAGGACCAATACTTTTTTTAGGATTAGAGTGCTTCCCCCAGATTTGCTGGTCACGTATAAGCTCTGTAAATCAACTTTAAAGTGTCATATTGAATTTGAGGAGGCCTTTTTAAGATCAGTAACCCTTTTTATCTAAGCTCCTCTAGTGCTAAAAGTTTAAACCTCTATTATGAGAGTGACTTGAGAGTTTGGTTAATAAGCCTGACATCACTGCATATTAATTCTCAAATCTTTTTATTTTTTATTTTTATATAGTCATCACTATAACCATCCTATGCCATATTGTATGAGCAGCACAGATAAATGATTAACGCTTGTAAATATAATTATGACAGGGAATTGTTGTGCTGACAGAGCAGCATTTATATTTCATTAGGGGTTTTAAGATATTTCATATCTATAAACCTCCACCAAACTTAATTGGCAAAACGGGCCACATTCGATGTGCAGCAGTAACTTGGGATTAGGTATGACGGCTTGTGGGGATGCATTCCATAATTAATGCATTTTATTATAATGGGAAAAGAGGCATATCTGCAGCATCTTACCTCTAATGGGAAAAACTCCAAAGCTCTTTAAAAGTTGTTCCATTTAACTAGCAAAAGCAGAGATGACCTATACATGATTTGTATGTGTGTGTGTATATATATATATATGTAGACCTATACTGTTAGACATTATGGTCTAACAGTTGTGTGACATGCTTTAAAGCAGGGATGTTCAACTGGCAGCCCATGGGCCACTTCTGGCCCGTGGGTGATTTCAGTCTGGCCTGCCAATAAATTCATTAAAAAAAACAAAAGCAAACAAACAAAAAACATAAGACCTTGATTTTTAAAAAAAAATGACAATAGGCAATCCTTTTCTAGATCGACAGTTATACAACTCATTCTGCCTGTCAATGTATCTATTTAATATAAAAAATAGATTTGAAATATTAAAAGTCAGCAGAATAAGAACAAAATCTGAAATGAGAAATATTTTCATAGAGAGTCAATCCTCTTGTATAGACGATCTATGATCCCGGGCAGTCAGTTGGAGCAGCCAGTCATCACTTAGTATTTCTGACAACCACAGACCGTCCGGACTGGTGTCGTGTTTGTAGCTTATTGTGCTTGCTAACGAGAGTAGTTAGAGTACGCGGCAACACAATGTCATTCGCAAAGCTGATCAAAAGAAAAGTTGACATCGAAAATTGTAAATTCTACAGTGAGTGGATAGATATGTTTTCAATGAAATTGCTGAAGACAAGCCGATGTGTCTGCTCTGAGTGCAGCGCCATGGCGAAGGATTACAACCTGCGCAGGCATTTTCTAACCAAACACGGCAGCTTCGATCAGACTTTTTCATCTGCTTCGGACATTCGATTGCAAAAAAAAAATTGCACTGTCTGCACGGCTGTAAGCTGTGGCACCACGGATGAAATCCCTCCACTGTCATAAAACCAGTGCTCGTTCCTCCTTAACAAATGAGTGCCTGCATCATTGCTTGCAAATCACTCTTACATCTTTTGAACCGGACTTTTCTGCCATTGTCCAGTCGAAGAAGTGCAATTTCTCTCATTGTGTAGTATGGAGTCTAGATGTCAGTTTTAAAGTTAAATAACTTTGTCATTCAAATTAGGCAGACCACCATTGCATTTCACCCCTGTAGCATCAAAACAAGATGAATAAAAATACAATGGTGTAAAGATTTGGCAAGTCAGAGATGTCGGAATAATGTGTTAAAAAGGAGGCATAATGTGCCATTTTTGTTTTTAATATTGTTTCACATAAGAACATTGATTATTTTCTTGCAAGAAAATAATTTTTGAAATGTAATTTATTTGATTTACATAATTGAGTTATGTTTATTGCATTTATGATTCAATGCAACTAAATAAACTAATTTAAAAGGTAACAGATCATTTTAATACTTAGTTTGTTTACATAATGACTTTAATTGCTGAATGTCCGGCCCCTGACCTGCTGGCTTTCAGTAACTGTGGCCAGTAACTGTGGCTTTCTGAGCAGTTTAGTTGAATAGCCCTGCTTTAAAGCAACGTTTCTCAAACCTCTCATAAGTACCATCTCAAAGAATACTAAGCTTTCCAAGTACCACCATTATAACATACATTAAAAACCTGTAAGTGCAAGATAGCTTTAAAGCTCATTATGAAATGTTTCAAACAAATTAATTCGACCTTTATTTAGACAGATAAGTCACATTGAGCCTAGAAGACTTATTTACAAGTGAGATCTGTTTAGACAGACCAAAAGTAGTGAAACTGTACACACGTATGAATTGGAGGTGAAAAAAAATCCTATCAGACTCTTTCTTCTTGGCTGAGAAGAAAAAAAAACTCTAATATTAAAAAAACACCTTGCACAAACAAGCACATAGGGTGTCGGATTACATGTTCTCCAGGCAAATTCAGATAAGGTGGCCTTCAAGGCCAGCCAGGGGAGCCAAATTCAGATAAACACACAGTTGTTTTGGGGACAGGCAGAACTTAATGACGTCTGCCTTGAGTCTGTGTTGGTCCAAATGGTTCCGAAATGTCCAAATCACATGGCCACACCGATGGAACGGGCCTGAGTAAAATCCCCAAGATCTGATCCATTCAGCCCAACGCATTTGAGTCTGGGTACTCGAGGCATGAACCAAGCCATCATAAAGGCAAGCAGTATGAGCAGGTCCCGACTACCTTGATTGGAGATAAAACCAGCAACCAGCCGAATCCAAAAAGCAGGAACCAGTTAGCGTAAATCCAATTAAATGTGCATCCTTAAAATCCACAATTGGCAACAGAGATGGACATATCATAAGTCTTCAAGTCGATGAGATATCCAGCTGCGTGCGTGCCAACAGGGCAATCTGCTCGCCTAAAGCCTGTCTTCTCTTCGAAGAAATGTTATCAATTGTTATGAGGGACCAACTGATCAAATCAAGTCCATAATTATGGTTCGGAAGATATGCAAGAGAGGCTCAAAAGCAGTTTCACAGACAGACAGAGCAGCAAAGCAAAGCAGAGAGGAAGGGAGGGAAAAAGCGTCCAACCTCGGCAAGAGCAAGTGGTGAAGTGATAAAATCTCTGACATAAAAAAGTAAATTTGCCCATTTACTTTAATGCATCTATTCTTAACTAAACATGAAAACTGCTTCTTTATTCCGACTGTAACACTTCCACACAACTACCTGACTAAGAAACATACTAAGGCCTGGTCATCCTCAGCTATAAGGTCCCCAGGTAAGGGTGTCTATAGTGGTAATGGCTAAAATAACCAGAGAACCCGAGTTTCACTACAGAGGGTGTGGCCTATAAGTTAACAACAAACCTTAAATGCTTTATTTACTAAATTTAATGTTTGTTTTTTAAACAGTCTTTTTATTAAGTTTTTTGCTTTTGCAAAAATAAACCCTCACACACAAAAAAATAAAAATAAAAAAGAACACAGAACAAAATCCCCTCCCACCCAACCCCACTACTCCATCAGATCAGTCACTCACACATACTTAAATAGTTTATACAGGCATTGAAATGTTCTCAACTAATGACAGAAAAGGCTGACAGGTGTCCCATAATCTTCCTGCAGAACCCTTCAGGGTGTATCTGATTTTTTTTCCAGATGAATATGGTACATGACCTCTCTTATCCAATGTATATAGGCTGGGGGGTGTTGGTCCTTCCAATTGCACAAAATGAGACTCCTGGCCAGAAGAGAGCCTAAAGCAATCACATCCTTCTTGTACTTGCTGAAGGACATCTACACAGGGACCACCCAAACAGTGAGATGAGTGGTGATGGGTGTACAGTTTTCCCGCATATCCCAGAGAAGGTGTCAAAAATAGATGTCCAAAAGGTCTGCAGTTTGGGACAGGTTCAGAATGTATAAGAGAGTATAGCTGGAGTTTTACAACGATTGCATGCAGGATCCAGATCGGCTTTGATCTTGAACAGCTTGTCTTTGGACCAGTGCAGCCGGAGCACTACCTTGAATTGAATTACAGCGTGTCTCAGATAGATTGAGGATGAATAAATGTTCTTAATGATCTTTCTCCAGATTGAGTTTGATATGGATTCCTCCAGGCCCATTTCCCATTTCAGTTTAAGGGAGTCCAGACTGGTCTCATGGTATGAACTGAGCAGTGTATAGAAATTTAATGGTTTTAATGATATTCAGTAATTCACATTTTAAATTATATAGAAGATTAAATCTTTTTTGACATTCTTCAGCCTGTGCTTTGACTCTCTAAATAGTTCCCCATGGTCCCCATATCACAGTTTGAGAATCATAGCTTCAGTAGTACATGTTTGATTTGCAGCAACATTAGAATATTGCCAGCGACTCCCAGTAGGTGTGCATTTAATCCCATGTATGCACCAGTTGTTTGACTAGGCTGAGATGAGTAGTCTAATAAAAGGACTAAAATAGCAACATTGCATATTAATTCCAGCATATTTCCCCTTTCCCTCTCCTCCCTCTTGTATCATGCACACCTACACACAACTGTGCACAGGCACACCCATCTCCATGTGGAACTACACACTTTCATACGTCAGCATCCTTTGGAAAAGGTTTGTTAAAGGGGATTATGCACATCGAGTGGGATGCAGTCACAAATAGAGCACAGATATGTTTATAAATGTATACTGTTGGAGATGTACAGAGTTGGTGGGAGGAGAGTGGATAAAGTACTTGACTCACCTCGTACCTTTAAAGGTTGCATAATGAGGTCCTCTTTATTTCACGTCTCTCCCTTTTTCTGGACCAAGTTCGACTGCACATCCCACACACACTGCAGGTGCTGTAAATGTTTGTGTGAACGAGAGTGTCATCTCCCACTCGAGGGGTTATTTTGAAATCCAGTGGGTGGAGTTCAGGTGGTACATCTTAAGGCTAAAGCTTGAACAGATGTGGTATAGCCCCACTAATGACATGCTGTAATCTGTCTTTGTCTGTCATTTCTGTTTGGGTTTTTGATGTAAGAAATAGGAAGAGAAAGATCATTTTTGGTCTTGAAGTATGGTTAAATCTGATAAATTTACAGAAACAAACATTACTCGTGTGTTTGCTGTGACGTTTCTTGTCTGAGCCTTTGTTCCTCCACCCTGTGTCCACGCTGCCTCACACAAACACAACACTGTTTCATGACTCACTGGTCTGTTGTGCCTACATGCTCATGGCTGGAGTAGGCACATATTAAATTATTTTTTTATCGTTTATGAATCTTCCCCCTGCCACTGCAGGACTAGCGTTGCCTGAATACACAGGATTTAGCTCTGCTTGTAATTTTGGCCCAAGTACAGCAGTAAGCTAGTGACTCACCTTTGTAGACAGAGATGGAAGCAAGGAGGAGGAGGGAATTATTTTTGATTGCGCAGAGTCCAGATGTGTCACTAAGAAGCGAGGCAGACTTCATTAAGCTCTGCTAAGATATAAAGATGTCTCGGGGAAAAATAAACTGATTTCAGCCATCATCGAGCCCTCGGAGTTATTTTGTTTAGTGTATGCATGTTGTCACTTTTCAACTCCCAATTAATCAAAGCCAATATTGGAAAAAACTTTCTGTAAACGAGATTAGAGCATTGAGTCTATGCATGACATATTTTAAATATAATTTGGTTGTTGTGAGATAACGGTATAACAAAATAAATAATGTTTAATCTTTTTTCCTTTCTTTCTGTATTAATCAGGAGACACAAAAAGCCAAGCAGTTCCTCCCCTTCCTGCAGAGAGCTGGCCGGTCAGAAGCTGTTGTTGAATACGTCTTCAGCGGCTCACGTCTCAAGTTGTACATGCCCAAAGAAACCTGTCTCATCACATTCCTGCTTGCTGGTGGGTTTAGTTTACCTTTCTAATGTCAGCGTCCTTTTAATTCAGTGTCATCTAATTGTGTATTTGTTGATCTGTGTTGGCTTTTGTTTCTTCAGTGCTGAAACTGATTCAATGTTTGTTTCATTACTGAAAGGTGTTCATATACACAGTAGTCTGTCGATTCTTCGCGGTTCGAGTTTCGCAGACTCGCTTTCGCAGGTTTTCAATGTAAGATTGTACACGACACACGATTGGCTATGGGGAGAGACAGTCCCCAGCCCCCTCCTTTCTCTTTCTGAGGCTGCCTGTCACAGCAGAGCATGACAGACAGACTCAGAAAGAGAAAGGAGGGGGTGGAGAATGGGGTCTGTCTTTCCCCATCGCTATTGCTCAGGGAGCAGGGATGAACAGATCAGGTGAACAAATGTAGAATATCAAAGAAAATACTCAAGTGGAAAAATGAGAGTGAATCAGTTTAAAAAAAGAGAGTGGCTGAGTGCGGCTCAGTCGGATATAAGACAGACCCCCCGCTCACTCCTTTCACTTTCTGAAGCTGTCTGTCACAGCAAAACAGAGGACATGTGTCTCTGCTTTGCTGTGACAGCAGCCTTAGAAAGAGAACGGAGGGGTTGTGGGGGGTCGGGCTCTGTCTTAAACCTGAGTGAGCCACACGAGCGGCATGGATTGTTTATTTAAAATAATCAGGCGCAATCCGAACCAAGCCTTTAGTCCCCCTCACCGATCACTGAGTGGGCCAGGCCACCGGGAAATGTCCCGGTGCTCCCAATGGCCAGTCCGCTTCTGATGGCCAGTCCGCCCCCAGGCACTGATTGGCTCAGTAACCTTAGTATTAGTCTGTCTGCTCTCTTTCGCTGTGCTCTTTTAGAGCATTTAGACAGTTTAGAACATTGTAAAGAACATAGCAAGAGTGTAGGAAGGGTTTGTAAAGCCTTAAAATGTATATAAATACTAAAATATAACGCCTGTACTTCACGGATTTTCACTTATCACGGGGTTGTCTGGAATGTAACCCCCACAATAAGTGAGGGACTACTGTATAATGTAGACGGGACAGACAGTTTACCATATTGGAAATATTAATCTCTGTAGTCAGTTAAATCTCCTCCCACTTTCTTCAGACCCATCTCAAAGTAGCCAAAGAGGATGGTTGGTTTCCCATGCAATCTGAAGTACATCTTGTTTCTCGTCTTGTAAAATAAACTCCCAAGTTCTTCTTTCCTTCATGTGTTCTTATCATTATTAAAAACTGTCTGGTACGTTCAGGCAAACAGGGATTTAAAACTCAAGTGAATAAGTGGGTATTGACTGAACTTTCCCTTTTTTATTTTTATAGCTCAAGTGCAAACTTTTTTTTTATTTTGTTATCCCAGTCGTTTTCTCTCTTCCTCTTCAGTTCTGAGAAGGTCAAACTGTGAAAACTTGATGTTCTCAGAATTTCAAGTTGTACCTTTTGGCATTCAACAACAGTCAGTTTATTTCCCTTGCTGCATTTTGCTATTGCTCCTCTTTTATCTCATGAGCAGCGACAGAGAGGACATGTCACATACTCAAAACAAAGTGAGCTCCAACAGTAAGTTAACTTTGCTATTAGTCAAAAATAAAACTCACAATAAATTGAATTTATTTAGAAGATGCCTATTTCACATTCACTGCCAATGTTGAGGACAGTGTGTGGTCAGTATCTTGCCCAAAGACTCTAGAGTTTATGGATTGTGGGATATTATAACTCAGCCAGTAAAATTTACTTAAAAAGTCCCACTTGTCAGATAATGTGTATCTTCTCAGCTCTTACGTTCAGTTCCAACAAACAATGTCTAAACATAATAAATACCTTTTTAAAATGCCATAAATAAAGCAACAGGTCTTCTGAGTCTTTAAGGTTGCTGTCGCTTAAGATGAGCAATGTCCGTGTTGAGCAGCCTACAGAAGGAACAAAGCACTCAAAATCCTGATTAGTTTTCATCTTGGTCACTTTATAATGTCGGGCCAAAAGGATGATGGTGAATTCTAATGAGAGAATTTTGCTTGTGTTAGCTGATATTTTTATCTGCTTTCTCAGCCTCATGTGCCTTAAAAGATTCTGTTTTGCTGAACAATAATGAATGAATAATGTTGATGTGCGTGTTTAAGATGTTTTTGTCTTTCAGAGTCTATCCACAAACAAGGTGATGTAAAACAATGGGTTTTTAATTAACTTCAACTCAGAATGAAAGAAATGTACCAAGATACCTTTGACAGTCAAACTTTTCATTCTGAAAAAGGCTGACTGTCCTTAATCACCCTCGTGCCTTCGTTTATCCTCTTTGTTTCAAACACATAAAAATCCAGGATGTTATCACACTTTTTGATAAAATACTTAAACAGGAAAGTAAGACACCATCAGAAAATGTCACAATATGACTGCTCTTTT